ATATAATAAACTGTCTTATTCTCTTACAGTACCTGTGTACAAGGCAAGCTTCAGTGCATTGGGGAAGTGAAACCACGAACAGGTACAACCACAATTTTATTCCCTGTCTTGTTATGATGGTTTTGCAGCCTTGCTCAGATCCAACAAGGGAAATGTATGCCTAAAGCAAACATAGTCTTTAAGTGCAGTACTTTATGAACACGTTTGCTATTTATTTTGGCATGGTAGCACTCCTAATGGGCAATGGGTCTATTAAATGGCAGTATTTGTAGAAATTGAACACCTGATTGGCTAATCTAGAAAGAAAAGTTGTATTAGATCTAACATATCTCTCACAAACAAGAGAATTCCTTGAGCAAAGTTGTTGGCTCAAGATACGCTGCCAGCCAAGAGATGTGCAGTTGATTTTTGCTGATTTCTCTTTCCTCTGCAATATGCAGGATTCAGTTCTAGAGTGTCCTCAACCTTCCAGAGCAGAATTTGAGGGACTGAAGAGATTGCAAGGGAGGAGAGCAGTCAGTGAAAACCCACAATCCAAGCACTGTTTCTAAAACTGAAGCATGAATATTCATTTGGATTTAATTTGTGAAATCTTGAACAAAACAAGATTGAAATTCTTTTAGGACAGAGAATGGAGTCCATGTTAGCTGTATCCGTAAAATCTAATATTTGGCATAACATAAGTTGTATAATTACTAAGATATGATCTCAGACTGAACTAGTTTTTCTTTCTATAAGATTGTGATGCTCCTATGATCTACTTTGATTGTGCCAATGCCACAGCTGACACCCATGGAACTGAGTGTCAGAAGAGCTGCCAGACACTTGACATGGGATGTGTAAGTGTGGCTAGTTATAAGTGGGTCTTATTTAAATAGCCTTTTCGGCTTACATGGGATTGTTTTCTTGATGAAAATGCAGGACAGAAATTTAATAAATAAAATAACATATTAATGACTGCAATTATAGTCTCTTGAGCTAAATGTGTGAAGCTGCCAGCCAGCAGGTAATTGACTATAATGAAAATGATCTTTCTATCTCTGAAACTACTAGCACAGCTTGGCACACTGCCTTCCTACCACTTTAGGGAGATATTGCTAAATAGAAATCAGTTTGATAGGTCAGAAGAGATTATGGTTAATGAAGTACCTAAAGAACTTCTCAGTCCCTTCTGAAAGAGAGGAGGATACCTGTACAGTAAGTGTGGTTAACAAACATGGCATAGTTATGATTCTGCATACTTTGATAAATTATCAAGATTATGCTGACTCACTGTCCAGAGATACATTGGCATATTCTCAATAAAAATTCAGAGAGCCCTCTTCATATTAAAATACCTGGGGGGGGGGGGGGAAACAGAACCTTGAAACAACAGTGTACACATTAAAAATAATAGGAGGGACTGATGCTATTTTGAAATTACCTTTCAGTTGTACAATATCTTAGAGATGTTGGTCCTTGTCCTATGATTTTGACAGATAACACTTTTTGTTATTCCTCTACGATTGCAGTATAGCACACAGTGTGTCTCTGGTTGTGTATGTCCTGATCAGCTAGTGTCTGATGGCACAGGTAAATGTATACCTGCTGAAGAATGTCCGTGCATTCACAATGAAGCCACATACAAACCAGGAGAAACTATAAAGGATAAATGTAATACTTGGTATGTATAAATCAATGGCTGATAGCTGAAATAAAATATCCAACCTATATTGTATTCATGCACACCTATTAACTTCAAGTATGTTTTTGGCTATGTAGTACATGCAAGAACCGAAAGTGGAAATGCTCTAATGAACCTTGCCTGGAAACTTGCTCAGTTTATGGAGATGGTCATTATATCACCTTTGATGGCAAACGATACACCTTCAATGGAGATTGTGAATACACGCTGGTCAAGGTATTAAACTTTTTTTCAAGTTCCTACTTGACATATAGTTACAATTTTTTAGCTTTGAGTCTCAATATTTGTGTTCGTGAAATTTAATGCCACATTCTTCTCTGCAGAATCACTGTAGCAAGAACAGTACAAATGTAGGAACTTTCCAAGTGATCACAGAGAATATCCCCTGTGGTTCTACTGGGACTACCTGCTCAAAAGCCATTAAAGTGTTCTATCAGGTAAGTAACTTAGTGGAAGGTGCAAACACAGTATGACTTGTGGACCTCAACAAAAACATGTAGTATGAAATCATCATACAGTAAGGGGAAATCCTGAAATAGGATAGGGTAACCATATGGCATTATTTTTTCAAAAATATCAACCAGCCAGCCCAGAACTTGCCAATAATGGAAATCTCCAGCTGAAGATATTATAAGTAGTGGCATTGATAGGGTTTTGTGTGTGTGTGTGTGTGTGTGTGTGTGTGTGCACCTTCAAGTCAATGTTGACTCCTGGCAACTGCCGGGACTAGCCCCTGCAGTTTTCTTGGCAAGATTTTTGGAGGTGGTTTGCCCTTGCCTGCTTCCTAGGCCTGAGAATGATTGGCCCAAGGTCACCCAGCTGGCTTTGTGCCTAAAACAGAACTAGAACTCACTGTGTCCTGGCTTCTAGCCTGATGCCTTAACCACTACACCAAACTGGCTCTCCATTGATAGATATAGGTACAAATATTTATGTTGGTTGTATTTTATCTTTTAGAACTATGAGTTACTACTTACTGATGGAAAATTTGAGGTAATACAGAGACTTCCTGGTGGAGGTAAAGTGCCATTCAAGATCCGATACATGGGCAACTACATGGTGATCGAAATTATTGACGGAGGACTGATCCTGATGTGGGATAGAAAAACCAGTGTGTTCATCAAACTTACAGCAGAATTTAAGGTGAGGTGCAAATGCAAAGTATAAACTGAAGTTCTATTCCTTTCTGAAGAATTGCATTGAAAAATTATGTTAGGGAATGAATGATACATTTATAATATTCTTCTACATTCACTGAAGAACAATGTGTAAGAGTTAAACATGAACATGTTTTTTGTTGATAGAACCATTGATAACAATGAAAAAAGACAGTGTTCTGACATTGTATTATGCAGAACAACAAGCACAGTCATTATGAATGACAATTCTCTGTTGACCTTGTTATAGCTAACATTACTGTTAAATAACTAGTTTTTGTTTTGTTTTAGTTTTCGGGGGGGGGGGTTGCATTATAAGAACATCAATGATTGGCTACAGCATAAATATTTGCATTGCAGAAATATTGCAAATATTTTTATTCTAGTGGAACTACCACATTTCATTGAACATTGGCATTTATATGGAAGTCATTATCATTCCAGATGAGTTCTGTGAATAACGGAAGAGGCATATGCATATATGAATTTTTGCAATTTGTTGAAAGATCCAAGTTTATGATGATATGCCCCTTGAATTGCTTGTCAACATACAGCAGAAGCAATATTTGGATATCACACTGAACTATGCTTCCATGAAATATGAACAGGTTTAGACTGTAAGCTCACAAACTCCCTTCCCTAACTGTCTTGCCAGTGTTTCACGACCTTGGCAATTTCCAGGTGTGTGAACTTCAACTCCCAGAATTCTCATCAGTGGACATACTGGCTATGGAATTCAAGGATCTGAAGTCTACACACCTGGAAATTGCCAGGTTGGGAAACAAAGTTCCATATGGTTGAAAGGATTGCAAAAGCTTTCATTTCTGTTTCCAGAAGATCAAGGCAGAATACAGAGAACTCCCTTCTTGCTTTTTTCCCCAGTGACAATCCTGAGATCAAATGAGCAGAAAGTAAAATCACCACTCAGTGAGCATCCTTGCCTGAGTATAGGAATGAACCTGAGTTTCCTTAGTTCTAGTCCAGTACTTTACAATGACATCACATTAGTAGACAAGCTATGATTAACATTATGAACTGGTTAATTTTAAACTAGCTTTGCACAACCTCCCTTCCAGATAGGTTTGGATGACAACTCCCAAAATCTCCTAGCCAACATGGCCAGTAGCTGGAGACATCTATTTAAAGACAGTGTTTGAAAACAAACATTCTAAACCCTGGTCACTGAAGTTGGCTTGTACTAATTTACCCCAATTATTAATGTTAATCATAGTTCTGTGTCCAATCTCAGGGCAAGCCCAATATAACCAAACCTTCTGCATGAGGAAAGACCCATCTGCTCACTCCGTAAAACAAAACCTTTCAGTTCTGTTAAGTATTCTTGTGCTCCATTCAAGGGTGACCTTTCAATGCTGGGCTGTGCAATTTATGGTACATAAGTATATGCACACATAATGTTGTAGAAAATATCATTTCATATTTTTGGATTTGTTTTCTTTTTATGTCAAGCAATGTCTGAGTCCACTGAAAAGAACTGTATATTTCACAGAATATTTCTCACAGAGTAAAATACATAGCAATGGATTACTTTAATGATTTGAGGAACTCAAGCAACTTTTGAAGAAATATATTCCCAGAGGGATAGCCATGTTATGCTTTTGAAGAAAAAAAAAATCAACCAAGTCTTAAAGCTAACTACTTATGGAATAAATTGGGGAAAAGATAGGCATAGCGATATCATTGCGATAAAAATAATGCTCTCTCAGCGTAAATAAAAATAAATTGATTTCATAGATGCCTAAGAGTTCTTTTAAAAGTTGCTTTTTGAATCCACATTAGGCATGCATAGACTTGTGTTTGCCTTTGATGTATACAGCTTTGAGCACATGAGGCTCTCTATTGATTTTGAAAGTATGTATGGGAAAAATGGCACACTGGTCCTCCTCCTTCATGTAAATATACTTAAAAGTCCCAGAGTACCGTATTTTTCCGACAATAAGACGCCCCCATGTACAAGACGACCCCCACTTTTCCAACCCAAAATTAAAAAATCAATATATTTTTCCGACAATAAGACGCCCCCATGTACAAGACGACCCCCACTTTTCCAACCCAAAATTAAAAAATCAATATTTTAAAGATAGTGCAGAACACATTTTTATTGAGTAATTAGTTAACATTTACCGGATACACTCGGTGGGAGGAGGCCCAAACCGTCTCTCTGCAGCTCTATTTCCAGGCTCTCTTGCATAACTGATTACATTCGAGCACGAGTGAAACTGCCGATAGCTCGTCTCTGCAAACAGCCTTCCTCTAATTGGTTTGTT